GTGGCCAGTTTCCTCTACTCCCTTGTGAAGTCCTGTGTTTGGCATGTACGTTTTGTCTCCTCGTTGAAGGCAAGAAGTGGTCTTAAACAATAGCTAGTCTTCCATTGTCCTTAATACGTAGCAAGCACTCAGTCTGTACCTATTAAACTGTATCGAAACTGCAAAACCTAAAGGTATCATAATGAATAGTTAATCTAATATTTCAACATCAGTATCTTGGTACCATGGGGAAGACCCACTTGGTTCTCAAATTCAAGGAGTGCATTTAAGACTCATCCTTCCACTTTAAAAGTAACATTGTGTCACAAAATCACATGGCCCAGAAGGGTTTCTATTAACATGGACAGACTGTAGACTGATGATACACCGCTCCAAGCAAAGCTCAAGCAGACAGACCTAACCATATATATCCTCACTGAAAAACCTCTCAGTGTGATTTCTTCATGAACTCTTAATGACCAGTTAACATTTAAGAATTTAACATTCACATGAAAGACTGATAACCAGAAGGCTGGCAGTTCAAACTCACCAGCCACTCCTCGGAAGGAAGGTTGGGCAATCTACTTCTATTAGTGATACTGCCTCGGAAACCCAAGGAGGGGTTGCTATGAATCAGATCCAACTTGACGGCAGTGAGTGGTTTTTTATGACATAAAGAAGAGATACAACCGGAATGCTTTTTAGAAGCGGGAAAGGCCAGACTTCGTCTCATGCACTTTTGTCATATTGTCAGAAGGGACCAGTCTCTGAAGAAGGGTATCATGCTTGGTAGGGTAGCGGGTCAGCAAAGAGGAGGAAGACCCTCAACGAGATGGAATGACACAGTGGCTACAATGATGGGCTCAAGCATAGCAAGAATTATGAGGGTGCCACAGCACCCAGTAGTATTCCATTCTGTTGTCCATAGAGTCACTGTGAGTTGGAATCAACTCAACAGCGCCTTAAAACATGACACACTTAATTATAAAATAAAAATCAATTTGTGATGAATACTTTAATATACTTACTTGAGATATGGACAAGAAGATTTTAGCTTTCACCAAATAAAAGGAGAAATTATTTTAGTACACATACATGCAGAGCAAAAAAAAAAAAAAAAAAGCATTGTCTAGATAATTCAGGCTAGGTCATTGGGGGGGAGAAAAATAGCACTTGGTTTGACGTATCCCATCCACTCTCTCCCGCAAACAGATTATTGTCTCCCACAGACAGAGTAATCTTTGAGTCTTAACTAGGATTGTGTAGAACAAGTTGAGAATATGTGATGGTAGCATCTTTTCCCAAGATTGCAAAACTTCCTTGGGATGAGACAAAGCCAGGATTTAGGAGGAAAGTTAATGGACCAAAGACAAGCCTTTGATGAAGTGATAAAGCGGGGTCTCATATCTATCCAGGTTAAACTAGATTTCATTAATATTAGCTCTTTTTAGTGTACATCTAAAATATGCTGCTTTTTTCCCCTCAGTTTTCTTTATGAATTTTTAGATAAACTGTTCTAGCTATGAACACCACAACATTTAATTCTAAGACCCATCGTTGGAGTTTTGAGATGAGAGAGGTCATGAAAGGCTTTTGAAATGTCTAACAAATTACAGTGTTAAGAAGCAAAAATGTCACTTTGAAGACTGAGGTGCACCTGACCCAAGCCATGGTACTTTCAGTCCCCTCATACGCATGTGAAAGCTGGACAATGAATAAGGAGGACAGATAAGAGTTAATGCCTTTTACCTATGCTGGCAAAGAAGACTGAGAGTACCATGGACTGCCAGAAGAACAAATGAATCTGTCCTGGAAGAAGTGTAGCTGGAATGCTCCTTGGAAGTGAGAATGGCCAGCCTTTGTCTCACCTGCTTTGGCCATGTGGTCAGAAGGGACCATTCCCTGCAGAAGGGTATCATGCTTGGTAGAGTAGCGGGTCAGCAAAGAAGGGAAAGACCCTCAACAAGATGGAATGACAGTGGCTGCAAAGATAGGCTCAACTATAGCAAGGATTGTGAGGATGGTGCACGACGGGGCAGTGTTTAGTTCTGTTGTACATAGGGTCTCTTTGAGTTGGAGTCAGCTTGATGGCATCTAATAAAAACAACATATTATAGTTTTTGGAGCAACCAGTCATGTTACCTATTATAAAATCTTTGAAGCTGTTTCTGCTCAGTGAGCCTACAGATACTTGGTAGTGTGTGAAAAGTTTCTGTGTCAGACAGATTTGTCTATGACTATGAATGAAATACTGGTTGCACTGAAAAGCATGTATAAGGTGATTCACACACCCAGTACCTGTCCATTCGTAAGTGTTGGGCTCTCTGCCAACAAGGAGACAGGCTGTGCCCAAGAGCGAGGAATAAATCAGGAACATGCAGAGCCATAAAAGAGATGGACATGTTTGGGAAAAGGACTCCTAGAATTATGAATGTCATGTTGCCTATTTGGCTGCTCACCAGAAGGTCGATGGTTCAAACACACCAGCTGCTCCATGGGAGGATGATGAGGCAATCTACTTCCATAAAGATTTACAGCCTCGGAAACCCAATGGAAATTGCTTTGAGTCAGAATCAACTTGATGGCAGTGGGTTTGGTTTGTGTGTGTGTTAGGCAGGGATAAGCAAATAGTGTGAGAAACTCCAAGTGCATTTCATCCTTCATACTCTTGAGTGGCAAGAGTAAGGCTTTGCCTGGGCAGTTTGCAATCCCTCACAAACACTGTCTTCATGTCTTTGTTTCATAGACCCCCATTTCCAGGAATATCTTTCCCCCCTGCAACCATGCCTCTACCCCAGTATGTTTTTTAATTCTTAGTATAAGTGTTTACTCAGCCAGGGAAACTTCCTTGCTCACTTCTTAGCCAAACTGGGCAATAAGCCTTTCCTGTGCTCTCCAGTAATTTCAGACAATGCAGAGCTCTATAACCCACTTGCCACATTGATGGTTAACGATTTGTTTGCGTGCCTATTTTTCCCACTTGATGCTGAACTCCAGGACTTTAAAAAAAAAAAAAAAATTTACTGTGATTTGAGTGAAAGTTTGCAGAGCATTTTCCATACAGCAGTTCTTACACATTTTGTTTCATGACATTGACTGCAATTCCCTACAGTGTAACAGCTCTCTTCCCATTTCCTCCCTGTAGTTACCTCTTCCCTGGGTCCTTTTTTTCCTATACATTCCTGCCCCCTGAGCTATCTTCTTGTACAAATACCACCCTTCTGTTCTCCCGTGATTGATCACTCTAAGGAGTGTATCTACCTGGTATAGATGATCAACCTTATATGCCTGTCTGTTGTTTGGCTGGAAGCCACGGGAGTGTGAATTCCAGGGCTTTGTTTTTAAACTTATTTCCTCAGTACAGTGCATGGCACATAGTGGTATATGGAAAATGGCAGTAATTGAAAGGCTATTGGGCTTCACCTGCTTCTGTTACTTGTTTTTCAAACAAATGCAAAGACTCGTTTGAGTACTTGAGGACTAGTCTACGGATGCACCAGACTTGGGCTCCTTTACCCTGTCCTCAGCAATGTCTTCCTAACAACCCCTTCCAAATCCTGCCCATCCTTCAGGGTCTCGGGAAAGCCCTCCCTGGTTACTCTAACCCTCACTGATTATTGTTATTGTTGTTGTTTGTGCCTTTGAGTTGGACCCGACTCATAGCGACCCCTCCTTGGGTTGCCAAGGTGGTATCACTATGGAAGTAGATTGCCCAACCTTCATTCTGAGGAGTGGTTGGTGGATTTGAACCACCAGCCTTCTGGTTAGCAGTCAAGTGCCTTAGGCACTATGCTACCAGAGCTCCCGATTAATTGTTATTAGCTGTTGTAAAGTCAGTTCTGACTCCTGGCGACCGCACACGCAACCAAACGAAACATTCTACAGACTGTCCAAGGAAAGCCTTACACTTGCCACTCAGTTAGGATGAAACACACTTGGAGTTTTTCACAGTGTTTGCTTATCTCTGCCTAAGACGCATACAAAAAACCCAAACCAAACCTACTGCTATCGAGTCGATTCCAACTCCTAGCGACCCGCATTGGGTTTCCAAGGCTGTAAATGTTTACGGAAGTAGATTGCCTCATCTTCCTCCCGTGGAGCCGCTGGTGGGTCTGAACCATCCTGCACCATCCTCACAATTCTTGGTGTGCTTGAGTCCATTGTTAGGGTCACTGTACGTTGAGCACCTTCTTACCGAGGGTTTCATCTTGCAGCACCACATTGTAATATTGTTGTGATTCATAGGGTTCCCTTTGGCTGGACTTTGGAAGTAGATCTCCAGGCCTTTCGTCCTAGTCTATCTTAGTCTGGAATCTCCCCTGAATCCTGTCCACCAAGGAGGACTCTGCTGGTATTTGAAATACTGGCAGCATAGCTTCCAGTATCACAGAAATGCCACAGTATGATAAAGCTGACAAATGGGCGGTAGTCACTGATTATGCTTCCCCTGAACTCCTAGACTATCCATTCATTTATCCAATAAATATTTATTGCGCTCCAGCCATGTGCTAGGTATCCTTTTAGGGGCTGAAGATACAGTGATAAACTGGTAAGTGAATACATACAGTCTGATACTGATCCTTATTTAGCCCTATCATGTGATTATAATGTTAACCCATTGAGTTAGTAAAGCATAAGACTGTGCATATCTTGGGTTTCTGAGTCAGCCACAGAGCCTCACTCAGTGAAGAGTGTGGATAGAAGGCAGGTCATCTTTGTCAGTTGGTTGACTTGTTTGAACAGAGACCAGATATAAAGCTAATACTCAGTGAAATTACATCCTGAATACTGAATGGACTTTTCTACTGGACAGTTCTTTCACTAGCTTCTGCCCAACACCTATGTACAGTTAAGTACAGGTGCAGCAGGGAGTTAAGAGCCTCCCTATGTGTGTTGTTGGGGAAGGGACAGTGGTTTGTAGAACTGATTTTTTTCCGCTCAGCCTTCACATCTATTATAAAGAGAGTAAAATGTGTTCATTTGGTTCTTTCTGTCTTCTTTATCTTCCACTGTATCCACAGGTCAGCGTTGAAGTCTTGGTAGAGTATCCTTTTTTTGTGTTTGGACAGGGCTGGTCATCTTGCTGTCCAGAGAGAACCAGCCAGCTCTTTGATTTGCCGTGTTCCAGACTCTCCGTTGGGGATGTCTGCATCTCCCTTACCCTCAAGAACCTGAAGAATGGTTCTGTCAAAAAGGGCCAGTCCGTGGATCCCGCCAGCGTCCTGCTGAGACACTCAAAGACCGACAGCCTCATGGGCATAAGACACAGGTATGCAGAGCAGGAAAACGGAATCAATCCGGGAAGTGCCCAGATGCTCTCTGAGAATGGAGAACTCAAGTTTCCAGAAAAAATAGGATTGCCTGCAGCGCCCTTGCTCACCAAAATAGAACCCAGCAAGCCCACAGCAACGAGGAAGAGGAGGTGGTCCGCACCGGAGACCCGCAAACTGGAGAAGTCAGATGACGAGCCACCTTTGACTCTTCCTAAGCCTTCTCTAATTCCTCAGGAGGTTAAGATTTGCATTGAAGGCCGATCTAACGTAGGCAAGTAAAGGCAGTGTGGGGGAAGGGAAGTCGGCTCTCCCTTGTCAGTTTTATCCAGATTACTGTACTGTAGGCTAAATAACACAGTATTTACATGTTATCCTCTTTTAGGTTTATGTTATAACCTTGTCATTAGAGTTACAGCTGGCGTTTTGCAGAAGGCTGATGCATATGCTTTTTCCACGAGTGTTTGTCAAGTGAGTGGGCAGGTGGATGGCCAGGGCAGGGACAGCCGAGGCTCCAAGCGTCCTGGCTGGAAATGATCATGGCACCATAGCTCCTGCCTTGTCTAGCAGCACAGAAACATCCAATGGACGCTGACTCCTGATAGTTTCATGGAGAAATTCTGTGTGGGTGCAGTGAGCGTGTGTATGTGTGTGTGCGTGCCTGGGGACATGGGTGTTGTGGCGGGTGAGTGAAGATCTCTTTCTCTCTGCCTCCCTCTGTCTCACTCTCAGCATGAGAATCAGGTGCAGAGCAGTGTCGCAATGAGGTTCTCACATGCAAAAGAAACAGCCAGAATTCAGCTTTAGGGTATCCTCCAGCGGCATCAGACATGAGATGGAAAGCTAACTGTTTAAAAGAACTTTTTTTCCCCCCTCCAACATGTTTTACAATAAAAGCAACTTTTAATCATAGAGATATATATTTCCCCCTATGGGGCCTAACTGCACTGATATTTTTTTTTTAAAAGAGCAACTGCCACACGTGGGATTTCATTTCTGCTTTGCTAGTGCAGTGACATTGCCAGGGCGTCATGGTGGGCAGGGAACCCCAGCGTGCACTGCTCCACGGGGACGGGTGGGGGGAGCAGGGCTGGGGGAGAGAGTGAACACCCACTCTTCTGGTTTCCGTGCAGTGTAGGAAAACTAATCAGGTTATTGCATTGACTTCGCTCCCAAGAGGTAGATCAAACTGCCCTTCGGTGAGAGCAATCGAAGCTCTTTGCATTGAGTTTGCAAATCTTTTAACTCTAGTACTGTTTATAGTTCATGACCATGGACAACTCGGGTGCCACTTTTTTCAGATTCCAGTGTGACGTAAGGAATTAAGATTTTGAAGATGAACATCTATTACTCTCTCTAAGCACTTAAAATGCTGTTCACACTTTATTACCAAGCATCTTGGTCTAGCATTCAACAAGTACTGTATCTCACTTTAAACTGTTTGGGAAGAAAAATAATAATAATAAGTTGCTTTCTTTTTTCAACACTGTTAACTGCATTTCAACTCTGCAGAATTACTCATGAGCAAGATATTGGAAGTTTCAAAGTGGTTTAAAGGGATGAATGTGAATTATGAACTAGTATGTGACAATGAATGACTGCCAAGTACTACCTAACAGGAGGCACTTTTCACTTTGATATTTGACAAAGCGTTCAAGGCATACGCAGAGCTGGCAGAGACGCGGAGGGAAAAGAGATGGGGAAAAGAATACTCATTGTTGTCCAGTGTTTTTCTTTTTAAGATGAACTCTTAAAGAACCTTGCGATTTGCACATCTTCAGTTTATAATTTGTGTGATATTCCTGCAGTTTTTATCCAGCAGCATTGTGGGAAAGGTTTGGGGGACTGAACGAGCATAAATAAATGTAGCAATTACTTTGTAGCCTGCTTCAACTCCAGGCCATTTTATAAGGTTATGTTCCTTTTGAAATTTATTTTGGTCTTTCTACCACATCTGTCACAAAGAACCAGGTCTTAGCAGGACAACTCTGAGAATTTTCTTCAGATTCATTGAGAGAATTTTTCATAGACATTTATATATGTGAGCAAGTTGGCTTTTTTTTTTTTTTCAAAAAAAAATTATTAATGTTGTTATTAATGTTATTTTAAGAATGACTTTCCACCCCCCCCATTGGAAATCAAATCAAGATGGAATGTTTGGTACAAACCCAGAAAGGGTATAATTTCATGGTTGAATATTTCATTCCCAGAGATCTGAAATACTGTTTGTGGGTTTTGAGTATGCGTCATAAACTGCTTTAGAAATAAAAGTTTTATAAATAAGGGGACATTTTTAAATATTTGTAGTTAGAATGGCTGCAACTAATCTGAACCGATACTTACCTGATTTTTCTTTTACCGTTGAAAATTGGACTTTCTCTTCTGTTTTACAAATTAAAAAAGAAATCCTAAGGTAAACCCACAGTTTGGCTATCTTGTATGACTTTACATTTTGCTTTCACCAGAATGAGTGATTTCTAGAAACCATTTTCTGGGGTGTACCAAAAACATTGGAATACATTTAGAACAGCTAGAACCACACTCCCTTGGCTTTTCTTGAAATTTACTACCCTCTCAGCACGCAGCCAGGGAGCGGAGCAGGCCTATTCTTGCGGTCACACTGCTAATTTAGTGCTTTTTTTCTTTTTTTTCCCCCACTGTTTCTGTTCAAAGAACTTGCTTAATCTTCCATACATTCTGCTCAGGGCACTTGCAATTACTAGGTTTTGTTTTCCTTTTTGTTTTTTAACTTTCGATGGTAAGAGGAATAAGGAGGCTGCCACATAGACTTTGTTCTCATTAGTTGCCCCTATTTACTGCAACTCATGTGGGCTCAGAAAAAACACACACCACCTTTTGGCTTAAAAGGAAGCAGAGTCTTGAACCAGCTGGATCCACTAAATCAACACTAAAATGGGAAAACATCACAGGTTTGGAGCAATAGGAACATCATCCTAACTCATGTGCTTCTATTTCAGGTATAGGAGTAATCAAAAGAATTGGTTCTTTCTAAATATTGTCCCATTTAATTCTGTTTTTTTAGCACATGCAATACTTTCTGTGCCAATATAGTCTTACCAGTGTGCTGGCAGTTCAAGCTTAGGCCCTTTTGGCTTTTTCCTTGTTTGGTTGCTCTTCCCTGACTTGTCCAAAACCTGCTCTGGCCAGAGAAAGGCTGGGGAAAAAGCCAGGAAGGGGAGAGTCTCCTGCCGTCTCCCCTACCCTCCCTGCGGATGCTGTGTGCTAGGACGGGGCACCTTCCGAGCCCCACTTGTGTCTGTCTGTCTCTGTCGTGTTGCAGAAAAAGCAAGAAAACGAGCTCTAGGGGGAAAGATGCAGTTCCCCCTGTCACCACCAGGAGTAGTGAATGTGGAGTCAGATTCATTTCTAAAACGCATTCTGGAGCGGTTTAGCCAGAGTCCACCCATACACCACGGTCTTTCCTGAGAGTGGGCAGGACCCTGCTCCGGGTCTGTGTACTTGGGACTTGGAGCCATGATTTGGGCGTGGGCAGGTCCGATCGTGCATGCATTATTCTGAGCTTGCCGGACAGTGGCTGCAGAGGGGACCACTCTGCCAACAGAGGTCACCCCTGCTTCGTGGCAGCTTTCTCTGCACATAGGAAGACCACCAGAGGACAGGGACCCTCCTTGGGTTTGCAGACCTTGGTGAGCCCTGCGGCTTCTGGAACAGCTATTGGCACTGCTTGATGTATAGCAGACCTAACAATGACAGGCGTAGAAATTCTTCGGTGCCGTTCAGTTAACGAGGATCAGCCACGTGCCTCTCTGTATGATGTCCACTTTGCAATATTTACCAACACCGTCTTTCGTTGTGATTTCTTTCTGTCTTTCCTTTTTTAAACTAACAACAGGCCTTTTCGTTTACAACGGAACACAATCACCAAGAAATTAGTCAGGGCGAAAAGAAAACATAATAATAATAAACCAACAAACAAGGACCTCTCTTTATAGGGATTTCTAAATATATACAATGACTGTTCTTAGAATGTTAACTTAAGGATTATTTCAGTTTGTCTGGGCCACATTGGGGGAGGGGGAATAGAGAGATCAATGCCACTTACCTCAAATCTTTTTAAGTGGAAATCAAACTGCATCTTCATTTGAACTTTTAGGATAATTTTCTATGCTGGTCATTTGTGTGTGTATGTGTGTGTGTGTTGTTGTTGTTGTTTTTCCAACTCATCCAGTCTGGTTTGTGATGATTTGATTTGTTGTTGTGGATCCCATTTATAACCCCATGTTTTCTGTTAGGTGAGTGTTTGGGGGCTTTGTCCCCACCAGGAAGTGGCATCCCCCTCTGTCTCCCCTACAAGGAACTCTGCGGAATCTTTCACACCTCTTACTCAGGGATGGGGCTGGCGCGCGTGGGGTACACTGATGTGTCCGGAAGCAGCACTTTGACTGCTTTGGAGTAGGGTTGTACAATTTCAAGGAATGTTTGGATTTCCTGCATCTTGTGAATTCCTCCTTAGATACTGCATAGATTGCAATATAACGCTGCATGTTCAAGACGAACAGTAGCTCCTAGTAATCCTAAAATCCACTCTTTGCACATAGTTTGATCTTTACTGAAATACGTTGCCAAAATTTATTTTTGTTGTTGTAGCTGTGGATTTTGTGTTTTGTTTTTAAGGAAACAATTGACAATACCCTTTTAACATCTGTGACTACTAAGGAAACGGATTTCTTTTGTAAAAAGAGAAATTGCGAATGCTTTTGAAGACACTAATGCCATGCTATTTCAGAAAAGGGTGACGCCGTGCCCTTGGGATGGGAGGCCAGGCTTTCTGAGCTGCAGTGACTGCCATGTTTACTGGCTCATGTACAGCAGCTTAACAGAGTATGGTCTGTTCTCTCCTAAAGCCCTTGTGCAGTTCCTATTTCCTAGTCACCCACGATGATTTCAGGTAAGATCACGGACACTCTCCGTACCCAAACCAGTTTCTTCAGTGGTGATATGAAAGGAAAGGGAATTACATTTTTTCTTTTTCTTTTTTTTTTTTTTAGTGGAAGACTTTGCTTCCATGTTTGTGTTTTTAACCCAGAATTTCTGAAATAGAGAATTTAAGAACACATCAAGTAATAAAATATACAGAGAATATACTTTTTTATAAAGCACATGCCTATGCTATTGTGTTGAGTTGGTTTCCTCTCTTTTCCACAGACAGTGTTGTGTTTTCTGTTGATAGGGAAATTCCAAACGACTTGCACACCTCTACTCCGGAGCTGAAATTGTCTTTACATAGATGACCTCGCTTC